TACAGTTCCAAACCATTGTTCCACAATTCACCATTTAGTAATAATGCAATAATGTAGCCTAGAAATTTTACCAAAAATATAAAGCAGCAATAATGAACAGTAATTATGACATCAAACAATAGAGTAAGTGTATATACAATGTCTAGCAATGAAATACAAGTGAAGAAACTAAGCAAAATACAAGCCTACACAGTATCACTAAATCGAGACCATGCCCACTTCTCTTCTACATTGCTTACCATGGTAAAGAAGGCTTATAAACATGGAAACATGACAGTTTGACTTAATAAATGCCTTCTGTAGGTCCTACTCCAGGTATCCTGTTGGTTTTAGGCTGGTTCTCTCGATAGAAACAGAAATGGGAGAAAACGCACTCCCTGTCTGAGTTGCTTTGTGACCATGCCTACTTCATTTCTCCATTGGTTTCTATGGCAGGTGATAGGCTAGTGTTGCGCGGTATTCGGTATTGCATTTACACCGCGGTATGTTAAGTAAATACCGCAATAATTCTAAGTTTTCTAATTAACCGATTACAATTTTTCAATTTTTCATAAAGCACATGGTGCTAAAATTAAAAATGGCTGAAGCAGTAATGGAAAGTTGTGATGAACCTGGACTTGAAGAGTCTGGAGATGACTGTGAAACAGATAGTTCTAGTGTTCCCAGCACTATTTCTAGTTCTTCATTAGCGTCGAGAAACTTGGTTCAGAAGAAGAATACCAAGTCGGATGCGTGGAAGTACTTTGGATTCATTCCAGATGAAAACGGTCAGTCAACAGAATTTGACAGTCCTAAATGCAAGATATGTCTACAAACTGTTGTAGCCAAGTGCGGAAACACCAGCAACTTGTTCACTCATTTAAGAACATTTCACCCTAAAGAGTACAACAACATCAGTGAAACTCAATCTACCAGTACTAAATGTCCTAGAAACAAGAGGCTATCAAAAAGCAGTGGCCAGTTAACTATACAAGAGTCTATACAGCAGACGAAGAAATATAACCATGGATCAAAAGAGCACAAGATGATGACAAAGTCAATAGCTACCTTTCTGGCGAAGGAAATGTTGCCTATATACTTAGTGGACAAACCTGGTTTTCGAGAAATGATAAGTGTAATTAATCCCAGGTACGACTTACCACACAAAGATCACTTTAGTCGACTTGCTATTCCTCGTCTTTATGAAGACACTCGTCACAATTTAGAAAGCAAACTAGCTTCTTCTAGTGCTAAGTCTATTTTCTTCTTTTCGTCTACGTCTGATCTTTGGTCGTCTCGTACTAGCGATCCGTTCTTAGTCTATACAATTCACTACATTGATTCAAACTGAACTATGCAGACTCATTGTTTAAAAGCCCTGTATCTTCAAGATCACACTGGGGAAAACATTCAAGAGGCTCTTGGGCTAATTTTAGAAGATTGGAAATTATCCTCTCAAAAGCAAGTTGCCATTACAACTGATAATGGAAGCAATATTAAACTAGCTTGTAATCTATTACACTGGACCCGTGTAAGTTGTTTCGGTCACAATTTGGACCTTGCTATTAACAAGGGATTGGTGGATAATCGTATTGATCGCGCCATTAGATTATGCAGGAAAGTTGTCGCTGCCTTTTTCTACAGTTGGAAACGCAAGAGATATCTTAGAGAGATGCTAGAAAAGAATAATATATCGTGTAAAAAGCTAATAGCTGATGTAAGTACTAGATGGGGTTCCACTGCTATTATGATTAACAGAATTTTGGAACAGAAGGAAGTTATTAGAATTGTCCTGGGACAAGATCGTACTACTTCTCACCTTCTACCTTCATGGCAGGATTTAGATGTCCTACAATGCGTGGCTACTGTTATTACCCCATTCCAAACGTTAACTGACTTACTTTCAGGAGAAAAACGTGTCACTTGCTCAGCTATTAAGCCTTTACTTCAAGTTATATACACAACCATGCTAAATATTAAAGAAGATGAGCCTACACTAGCTAAAGAAATGAAAATGAGAATAAAAGAAGATTTAGAGAGTCGTTATTCTAATACAGAAATTAGCAGTCTTCTGGACAAGTGTGCCTTTGTAGATCCTCGATTCAAGCATAGCTATTCTATAGATGATGAGCTTGTAGCTGAAATCTTATCCGAAATGAACGAGCTAACAATTGTAAGTGATGACATACAATCAAATGAGGAGTCAGAAAACCTAGCCCTTGAACCTCCTCCACCAAAGAAAGGAAATTTTAGTTCAATTTTTGGACCAGTATTAGTCACTAATAATTCAGATGCATCTCAGCAATCTCAAGACGATAATGCTGAAAGACAAGTCGAGTTATATTTACAATACCCTTCACTTCATACAGACATGGACCCTCTGATTTGGTGGAAACAAGAATCCTCAAAGAGTCCCTTACTCTCTGTTCTGGCACGTAAATATCTCTCGATCTGTGCATCAAGTGTGGCATCGGAACGAATGTTCAGCAAAGCTGGCATTATCGTATCTGATAGAAGATGTTGTCTTAAACCAGACAAAATTGAACAATTAGTATTTCTATCCAAAAATTTGTAAATATGATTGGTTTGGTATTGATCATATTTTGACATTTCTTATAAAGGTATTATTGTTATACCACAATATTTTTTAAATGAATACCGCGAGGCTATGAATTTTAATACCGCTCAACTCTATGATAGGCACAACTGTTTCTCTTCTTTCTAGGTGTTTCATATACTTTTTAGCTACTTTTAATAGCTCTTTGGACTCTTCATACATCAAAGAGTAAGAATCTGTTTGCTATTTTTCGAGCGCTTCGTGTATGAGTGATGCAGCAAGCCCTGTTTGTAGCCCAACTACACGACGATCGTTTTTCTCTCTGTAACTTAGTAGGGCCAGAAGCTAGCAGCTTATAACTATAGAAACTGTGAGATGAAGGTTAGATAAAGCCTACAGACTCTCTACTTTGCCCATAAAACATGTTTTAAAACTTTTATACACATAGAAAGGCATGCGCAACTATAGTCACACCTATGCAATCATTAAGGTTGTGGGTGCGCAACTATAGTTGCGCGTATATGTCAAAGAGTTAATGGGCCTCTCCCAGCTTTGGCCAGGACTAGTGTTTTTTTGCAGTAGTAACTGGGAAGTAGTGCATTTGTTTCTGTCTGTATGTAAAACTAGATTTGCTTACTCCAGGACACTTTCATAATAGATCGTCTGCAATAGGCATAGTAATTAGGGGGTTTGGTTTACTGTCAGCCATCTTAAGGTACAAGAATAAAAATGGCCCAGTTATGTACCTGTCCTTTTCATGCTTTATAAAATCAAAGAAAATTGGATTATAGGACTTAGAAGAAAATTAAGAATAAATTTTGGAACATATAGTTCTGTTTTTCAACTTTAAGTCTAGCTTCATATTTTGTACTTCCCTAAAAGTTTAGTCAACCACACTCCCTAATTACCCCTCCCATCTCACAATTGCCCTCCCCAAAATAAATCCTAGATCCACCCCTGAAAAGAACCAAAGACTGCCTTAATGGGAACCTTGCTATCCCAATTGAGGTGCAAACCCAGCAGTCTAACACTAGGCTTTTCTTTGGTTAGCTAGCATATATAAAGCACATGCCACTTGTGACTCATTATTAGTGCTATGTAAAACAATTTTGAATACCAAAGTGCTTATGATGTGTGCATACATGTATGTACATGTACATTCATGAATAATTAATGTGTGTGCATTGAAGGTTGTGGGAATGCATGTAAAGGTAGTTGTTGGCCTAGTTGTTGTAGTGGTTCTTGCTTGAGGGGTGGAGGTGGAATGAATGGTGGCGGCTGTATGAGTGGTAGCTGGTGTGTGAGGGGTGGGGGTGTATGAAGTGTGGTGCTTGCATCAGTGGGACTGGTGTTTGAGGTGTGTACTTGTACATCCATTGTCTCTTTCTATTATGGTAGTTTATTTTTTTTCTTTTACATTTACATGTATGTGACATTTCTGTGTCCTTTTTTTCCTCTCTTTTCCTCTTCTTGTTCTCCTCTTCTCTCTCTTCCCTTTTCTCCTTTTCTTTTTTCTTCTCTTCTTTCCTCCTTTTCTTGGCTTCTTTTCTTTTCTCCTCTGCTTTCCTCTTCTCTTCTTCTTTTTTCTCTTCTTCTTCTCTTTTTCCTTTTCTTTTTTCTCTTCTTCCTTCTTCTCTTCTTTTCTTTTCTCCTCTGCTTTCCTCCTCTCTTCTTCCCCTTTCTCCTTTTCTTTTTTCTCCTCTTCCTTCTTCTCTTCTTTCCTCCTTGTCTTGGCTTCTTTCCTTTTCTCCTCTGCTTTTCCCTTCTCTTCTTTTCTTTTCTTCTCTGCTTTCCTATTCTCTTCTTTTCTCTCTTCTTCCCTTTTCTCCTTTTGTTTTTTCTTGTCTTCCTTCTCCTCTTCTTTCTTCTCTTCTTCTTTCATTTTGTCATTATTCACTTTGTCCTGCTGATCCTTGTCGAAGGGGGCCAACCTGCTTGGAACCTGTCCCATTGTTCTTCCTGTAGCAGCAACTGTTCTGGTTTGTTGCTTTTATAGTCCTTAAGTAATTTACATCTTCATGTATGTTACATGTAAAAGGTGTACTGGTACATGTACAGATGCTTCACAAGCTATCCTATCTAATAAAAATGCCTCTCGATACTGGCACAATTTTTGAAGCCCTTTTATATTCTTTGTTGATACAGGTGAAATGCACCTTGGAGGTAAAGTGAGAGTGATGCCCATGCAAGCCACATTACAATTAATGAATATCTTATGCATGTACATGTACTTTTGCCATTGTGAAAAGGCCTTTAGACAACTACAATTACATGCATTCATTCACCATGATGCATGACCATGTTAAACTGTTGAATTTAATTCTGTACTGATGCACAACTAAAAATATTGCCAGATTACTGGTATAGTGATGTGCCAATGCAAATTCCTTTTTCATTTTTCACATGCCCAATGAAACTTTACATGCAGTCTAGTGCAGAAACTCTTATTTCAATACGTATTAAATATCATGCATGTAGCTTCCCTTCAATATTTCCAGCAATGTACACATATACACTATCTGGTTTTACACATTGCTTCTTTAAGTTTCCAAGCATTGTTTGTGTGTGTGTGTGTGAGCGTGTGTGTGTGTGTGTTTGTGTGTGTGCACATGCCTGTGTGTGTGTGTGCACGTGCCTGTGTGTGTCTGTGTGTGTGTGGTGACTCTTAAAACAACAACTGATAAATGAAAACAGCATACACTAACAAGATGTGTAAACTTATACCAGGACGCATTAGTCAGAGCATTAGTCAGACCATTAGTCAGTACTACATGTGTGTGCATAAATATAATACATATTGTATGCCTACACATACCTTTAGGCCAGCCCTGATTAGTTCTGTAGTCAACAGTGTCCCACCTGGCTTATACAAGTATAACCAGAGGAAGGTCCCCGTCTGGTTTCTGTAGTCCGCAGGGTCCCACCTAGCTTATACAAGTATAACCAGAGGAGGGTCCCTGACTGGTTTCTGAAGTCAGCGTCCCACCTAGATTATACAAGTATAATCAGAGGAGGGTCCCTTACTGGTTTCTGAAGTCAGCAGTGTCCCACCTAACTGGAGGAAGGTTTACTGTGTGATGACAAAAACAAATCAGGGCTGGCCCAAAGAGATGTACAGGCATATACATTGTGTATTATATTTATGCCCACTCATGTAATACTGACTAATGCATTGACTAATGCATTGACTAATGAGTCAGGTTTTAATGACTCACTACCTTAGCTCTCACTCACCTCCAAATATT